ACAAGATGACAGTTGTCCCAGACTGGAAATATTCCACGAGTAACCAATTCCGTGCCATGCTCAAATGCCACGCCTTCCCTGGTTCAGGGAAAAGAAGTGTATATTACCAGGAACTCTAAAAACGTCTATCTCTATTTTTATGGAATCTCAAAGTTCCAAAGGTTTTGGCTGACTATATGATGGCCGCAAAAATAACACAGTGCAATCCATACCATAAAGTAAGAGCAATTGCGTCCTGGAATCACTCTTTGGTACAGGGTTTTTGATCCGGCGCAGTTACCAGTAGCCGCCGAAAGGGGTTTCTGTATCAGCTCCACTTTCTCATTCGACTCTTTTCAACTTCTCTGATGTTTGTTTCTGTGCCTACACATGCACTGAAACCTCACCTGCTAGACTGGCTCCTGGCTCCGGGACAAAAGGCTATCTTCCCTATAGAGGTGTTTTTCTTCACTGCGACACTTTTCGTCATTAGTGATTGTGCAAATGTAGTCGACGTCAGCAAACTGAGTTAACCGAAGGTGTTTATTACACCATCCGCAACTCACTAATACTTAGTATGATCATTAAGTGGTTAGTGAGGGGTTACATTATCTTCTCGCTCGCCAGATCTGTAGACGAGAAGAGACGTCAGATCTGTAGACGTCAGGAGACGTCATGGTAATTCCAGTAGCCACCTGAGCTCAATTGCGCGCCAGCTAGTAGTAGGGGTGCAATTCTACTGAAAACTCCTTGTCCCTACGGCTGAAAGCAAACGGAGCTTTGCTCTGAGTCGTATCTGGACACGTATTTGGACCCTAAGGTAGCCACCAGAGTCCACCTAAGTCATTGCATAAACTAGATTTGTGCAACTCAGAAGCCAGAATCTTTATCTTCCTGAACACTTTTGTAATCAACTTATCACTCTCAGATATGAAGTGTGAACAGGTTCTCGCACGACGCTGACCAACGATCGGCTGTAAGCTTCTCCGCACTCGCTGACCAACGATCGTCTATAAGCTGTAAGGTCCAACACTAGAAATCTCCTGCTCACCTTCAGGCAATGTGTAATCCTCGAAACATGAAGCACGATATTTGCGATGTGTTTTGTCTATAGGGGCGACGATGCTCCTGCTACTGCACATCTTTGCAAGGGTTCCAGGTTTCCAGCAGGTAAGCATCCGCAAGTGGATCGAGCCACAACCATCCTTGCTAAGCTGAACGGTTTCCACAGTCTTTTTCCGCGGCTGTGCCGTCCTTTTTCCACACTTTTTCAGCTGCATTGGAAGGAACCGCCTTTTGCATCTGAAGCATGTCTGCGCTAAGGAGAACTTTCTCAGCCGGTAACTTCGCGAAAAGCCTCACCAACACAGTGCAACGGAATCTTAAGTACTGGTCAACCGCGTTCTTGACCGCTTCCCCCTTCTATCATGTACCATTTTCACTTTATATTCACCCCTTTTCAAACCAGATTCACCCATTTTCGAACGAAATTCACCCCTTCCAAACCAAATTCACCCTCCTTCCGAATCGAATTCACCACACTTATTAGGCCGCGCAATTCATCAACCAAATCACGCCAGACACTACTGCGGGCCCCGCTCCCTCGGCCACGCCACTTGCTTTTTGCGCAATTTTGAAATTTTTTTCGAAACTTTGCATTTTTGGACTGCTACGTGAAGCAACGTCCACTGGAGGCATCCGCGCTGCACTTTGAGAAGCCCTGCGCCCACTTTTCAAAACTGGTGTAAACGCGGAGTATTAGAGTCTCCGACTGGGCAATGCCTAGGGTATCGCTGGATCATTCGCAGAACAAACTTTGCCGCGACATTGTCTTGCTTCGAGTGATGAACACGAAGCCCATAGCATGAAGCCCAGACCCCTTTATGGCATTTACCCATTTTTAAGAGTGCCGACGCGTTCTTCAAAGCGCGGCTGGAGCCTCTCACAGTGGGCGGGGCTTCACGTAGCAGTCCAAAATGCAAAAATTTTGAAAAAATATCAAAACTTAGCAAAAAGGAGGTGGGCGCGGTCAGGGGCGGAGCCTAAGTTGCCAAACCCCTTAAGAGAATGGGAGGGTCGGCCACCTGTCAATGCTGTTCAAAGTGTTTGTGGAAAACAGCAAAAGCAGAAGTTATGAAACAAGATTTGAAATTATGTCCGCGCCGACAAGTAGGCGCGGCTATCGGGGCGGGGCTCGCAGCCGGTGTCTCGATGTGAATCTGCTAGTTGATGAGTTGCCGCCTCAATAGTGTGCTTATTTTGAGCTGAGAAGTGACGGCGTGAATTTAGGATTCCGATTTGATGATTTGAAAAAGGGGTGAATTTGGTTTGAAAAAGGGTGAATTTGGTTTGAAAAGGGTGAATTTGGTTTGAAAAAGGGTGAATTTAAAGTGAAAATGGTATAATATATCAATCTGTTCCGGTAATGCCTTGAGTAGGGGCAAAATTTTTCGATCCTCCGTGATAACGCTTTTGGTAGCCCGTCAGTCCGCCACAACCACATGTTCTGGTCTTTGTCGGATAATTGCCCGAAATGTAGATAATTTCTCAGACCAGGGAAGATTACTTGGTTGCCTGCTGTACAATGCCGTGACTCATAGTAATAATAGAACAACTAGTAATGCAGTAGAGCTGAATATAAGCTTTCTGCGTTTGCCGGGAACAATACACTCATTGAAGACATGATTACTGGCAGAATATTACTTTTCTTGGGAAAGTCAAGACTCAGTGGCGAAATTCGGAAATGGTCACGAACTCTTATGGCACCCTAGCGAAGTGGATAGATAGGAAACATGGATGATTTTATTAATATTTTTTCGTTCAAAGTTTTTGTGTAACATATGCAGAATTTATTCCAGCTGATTATATCCTTCGGTGTTATTTACTCAGCAAAATTGACAGTATACTCGGAAGATGATGTTCAGACAGCTATCCTTTTCGTTATACAAGTTATTTATTTCAGTGGTGAGTGAGCAGAAAGCTTATAGAATGCAATTTCACCGCATTACGGAGTACATTTGACGTAGTCATCACCCTTATCACAACTCAGTAGCTCTTCGTCTGCACTGCCTCCACTGAGAATTTCATCCTACCCCTAGCGCTCTTGCAATTTGGCGGGACGCCACTGCTGGCGACATGGGAGGGGGTCGCTGAGGTGAGCGTGGCCGAAGACAGACAAGACAATCAAAATTTGTCGTGGCCGTGCGCGTAGTCGTCGCGGTCATGTTGCGCGAAATTCTCGAGACATCAATTTGTTTGATTGGAGCAGCGAAACACATATGAGCCCAAGCAAGACAACCCTTCTTGCTGTCGAAATCAAATTTTCTCGTCCTTTTGACACTTATATTCACAGCCTCACAGGACGATTCGTCTGTAGAGCGACGTCGCTTGCCACGCCTACTAACGCGGCATATTACAGATTCGATCTAGTCAGCATTACGGTGGGTGACCTTCCAGTGAGTAGGCAGGCGGGGAATAGCTGGATGAGTGAGTCCTGATCCTTTCGGTTCTACAGAACTGGAGAAATAAAGTGGTAAAAATTTCCTCGTGTCTGAGGCATAAAATCAGTTTTGATTAGCGTAGGTCCACACCCATTCCCCTAGCCTCTTCGTTGATACGTATGTAAGCACTTGGTGACAGTTCACCATACATACTAGGTCCTTATTCATCTTCTTCTTTTATCTCTTACTCTTTGGACCCTAAGAAAGTCCACACTAGTTTCATTTTGCTGCCCCACCCTTCAAAATTGGAAAATTTCTACCTTGACTGTCGCCAAAACTGTGCCCTGGAACCATTCCGACACCTTCAATATGAACCGCCAAGGCACCTGGAAACAACAGATGTGCCGAGACCTTGCCGAAGACCCCCTGTAACGGCGGCGCCTAGATTTTTTCGCTCGAGTGCGGCATTCGCGTTCAGCTGGATCAGAACAGCTCGGGTCAAAATCTTGTCCAAATCAACCTCTACGGAGGACGAACAGAGTCAAAGTATCCCTGCAGACCGATTTCCAGACAAATCGAAGTCCTAACCTGAGCTTCGAATAATAGTAAGGCAGCAAAGGGTACCAATGCCAGTAATATCGTTGGATGAAGACCTTGTTTAATGAAAGGACATCCAGACTAGAAACATTTATCAATGTGTTCCAAGACCATTCGATCAAATCAACAAGTTAGAAGAGCGACGAGTTTCCATTTCCTCAGTTTTTCATAGGGCGCAATGCTCTTACTAACTCATTTGTAACTTTTGTAACGCACGTGGTGCTCATGTAATTGAATCGTGGGTGTTGTAAGGGCATGCAAACTTCATTTCCCAACAAATGTAACAATCGCTTCGACAGGAAACGAAGGGCGAGGGTGTTCTAGGCAGGAAATGAAGAACGAAAATACAGTTACTCTTTGAAAAAACGTGATGAAACCTTTTTTCTTAGTAATGATCTCTTGAGAAATGTGAGGCAGATTTCGCAACGGCAGCGTTCGGTCGCGCGTTCTGCGCGATCGATGCGCATGCTTTCTGCTGCATTGATCGCGTCGAACGCGCGATCGAAGCGCTGCCGTCGCGAAGTCTGAACGCTGCCTACTTTGAATCGATATTTGTGATTCCATTATTTTCAGATAGCAGTTGCTCTGCTAATTTTCAATAGATGGCGTACGAAGAAATCTCTCGGAGTTGGAACAAAGCTGAGCACAAGATATCAACTTGTTGAGAACATTCGTGTTCTAAAAATTCTGCTGCCCGTCAGTACAACATCGTTTACATTTAATTCAAAATTGTTGTTCCATAGTCAATGCACATCACCTGGTAAAGATAAGAAAAGAGATGGTATGTGAGGACTGTAAGTGTTTGGAAGCGGCGGCAGGGACGGGAGGTAAGGGGTGGATGGGTGCCTATTTGAAGTGAAGAAAAAACTGAAAGGGAGCTCTCACAACGAACTCCACCCTTGGTATTTATGTTCTTTTCACAGGCGGGATCGATTCCCCTCTATAGGGAAAAAAGGTTTATTGAATTAAACTTTTCCTGAGAGTCACCTTCGAAACGCGAACTCGGCCCAATCTCTGCGTTTGTAGGCTCTATGGAGGACTATGAGGTTGTCTCATAAGTTTTTCATCTTTCTTTGAAATCGCGACTATCAGTGCGTGACGAGGAATCGCATCAGACCATGTAAACGCGGATACTGTGACTCATTGTCTCTATACGGTACTGCTATCACGCGGCAAAGTGCGCGCTCTCACAGGAAATGAGCAGCTGCTCCAAGCTGGTCCATGTCCTAGCGGAAAACGTATGGACCGAAGACATTCGACCCGTACTCTGTACTGGAGGCTCTGGATCACACACGTGAACTCCGATACTCGCACAAAACGGAGTCCCACCACGACGAGTCCGACAAGGTCCACCCTTTGAAAAGGGGCCTGTCTACCAATGATTCTCTGCTCCTTGGACCTGATTTTCTGAGTGAGAGCGAGAATTCTGTGTTGTGGGCAGAAGCCGTGCCCAGCCGGAATTTGAACTAAAGGTTTGCTGAGCGATTCTGTGAAGTGTGCTACTGAGTGTGAGACCTCGACCACAACTAACAAAGTGGAGGAGATGTTGAGACGACTACTCTCCCCGTTCTCGACAAGACTACAGGTCAAATCAAAGAAACCGGGGCTTGTTCTAGGGGATTGATGTTATTCCTCATCCTACTTCTCCTAATAGCCTAATCCTATGCGGCTGTCATATACTTTGGACCTTCTCAACATCGTCATAGAGCATTAGATTTGTTTATTAGGTCATCCCATTCAAAAGTGCCGAGACATATAGAGGAATGGCAGAAAAGCAAAGGGGATAGGGAAGCGGGCTACTATACCATTTGGAGGCTAGTACCTTTAGCTGTGTATCTGTGAAATTTGGCGAACCTACCCACAGAAGAAGTTCTCGAGAAATTGAAAAGAAGCCCGAGTGGTGAAAATCAGCGCCCGATTTTCAAATCAGACGTCATAAGAGGAAGTGCGCTGCTCAAATTCGACCAGCGCCGGACCAG